AGAATGCCAAGAGTGTGCAAAGCTGTCATCAAGGCAAAGGGTGGCTACTTTGAAGAATCTCAAATATAAAATATATTCTGATTTGTTTAAGACTTGTTTGGTTACTACATGATTCCATATCTGTTATTTCATAGTTTTGATGTCTTCACTATTATTCTACAATGTAGAAAATAGTAAAAAATAAAGAAAAACCCTTGAATGAGTAGGTGTGTCCAAACTTTTGACTGGTACTGTACATTATAACATTGTTGTATGGTGGTATTATACATTTTGTATTGTAGATATGTAGTGGTTTGATAATGTTATATTATGTACTGTTTTAACTTTAGTTTTATATGTAATGTAAGTGCCTTAATATGTTTGAACCCCAGGAAGGGTAGCTGCTGCTTTGGCAACAGGTAATGGGGATCCCTAATAAATACAAATACACATCTAGTGGATTTGACTCGCACTGCATTTTACTCTATACAGTCCACTAGGCACGGGTCGTGTGTGTGTGTGTGTGTGTGTGTGTGTGTGTGTGTGTGTGTGTGTGTCAGGGTTTCTGTTAACCAGTAAAATACGATAAAATTGGCATCGGCCAATTGTCCGGGAGAAGAAACAAAATCCTATTTCTATTCATTGATTGAAATACCACTCGATGTAGCTGTTCGTTGTTGCTGGAGTGAAACGTGCTTTTATAAGCCCAATCATTGCACAACTATTCTAAATGCAATCACATGTTAAAAACAATGGCCACAATAAAAAATAGCTACTATTTGTATTTCTCAACTGGAAATTGAAGCTCGCTTCCCATTCGCCATTCAAGTGCATAGGCAACTATGCAGGCTTCAGCGCGTTACACACCACTTTGCAATGAGCTGGAGGCAGTATGAACATTTTAGTACATATTATGAGGCATGTCTTTACCTTGCTTGAAAGTAGCCTAGCCAAAATCCAAATAAACGTGCAGGCAATTCTTTATAAAGACTTTCATATGCCATTGAAACTAGTAGCCTATTTGTTCATGTTGTATTGGCTTTCAAGTCAACTTTCTTTCATTGTCCAGTAGCCAAAGACACAATCCTAGTCATATTAGCAACCCATACTAGTAGTTGCATCTTTAGAGATGCCCTCTTTCAAAATTTCTAACAAATATTTTCATCTCTGTCTCATGAAACCGCTCGCATGTGTGGTGTGCTTTTGACAGCATTTTTTCCCTGCTAATTGCATTATGGAACAAACATTTGCTTGTAGCCTACTGCCTTGTGCACATTAATGTGCTTATAATTATATTTTATAAAAATTGTAAGATAAACATTCTGATCTGTTGCATGACCCTCATTGATTTATTTTAAGTTTTGGGGATATAACCAAGGCCTACTGGTTGTATGAATTTGGGATCTATTGTCCCACAACTGTCCCAAAGTCTGTTTGGAATTCTTTCTTGCATAGAACAACAAGCTGACCAATAGAATAGGTCAACTTTTGTACTATGGGGGATCGTAGATTGACATAGGCTAGTGATTTTGCTGTTCGTTACTCGTCTTGTTTGCTGAGGAAAAGTAAATGTGGACAGTTATTCTAACATCTTCAAATTGTGCATCGGAATTTGGTAAGGACACACATCGTTGCATCCTTGAGTTGCATGCTCTGTTAAGATGAATTACCATAAACCAGGGTTTCCCAAACTCGGTCCTCGGGACCCCTTGACCATGCTTAAAGAGATATTCAATGTCTGATTTGTTATTGCTACCCATCTACCAATCAATGCACTTTTTTATGAGACTTTCGAAAAGCTCCCTGGTCTTTGTAGTTGAATCTGTGCTTGAAATTCAATACTTGACTGAGGGACCTTACAGATGTTGTACAGTATGGATGGGGGACAGGGTTAGTCATAAAAAATCATATCAACCCCTATTATTTCCATGTCATTCATTGTGATTTGTTAAGCCACATTTTACTCCTGAACTAATTTAGGCTTGCCTAAACAAATTGGCTGAATACTTATGCAACGACTATATTTGAGTTATACATTTTTTATTTATCTAATGAACATTACATTTTTCTTCCACTTTGACAGAGTATTTTGCGTAGATTGATGACAAGAAATGACAATTATAAATCCATTTTAATCCCACTTTGTAAAATTAGAATAAATCCAAGTGGTCTGAATACTTTTGCAAGGCACTGTATGTGTGGTTGAGCTGAAAGAGAAGACTGGTTCGACTGGAACAGGTTTGTCAAGTCTGTAGATGTTTTGGTCAGTCTAGTCTTAAAGTCAATCTTATAGTCTGAAGCTTCTACCAATAAGCATACTTTGCTGATCGTTCAAGGATGTTGGTTCTTTTCTGAAGATGGACACTTCGGATTAGCCCTCTCGACCCAGTTCTTGCTTCTAGGACTCTTCCGATGATCCTCTTTGTGCATTGGTGTCTGCCACTAACACTCTCCAGGTACAAACACTATCACCACCGATAAATCTACAATAATCGAGAATTTCAACAAGCATTTTGCTACGGCTGGCCATGTTTTCCACCTGGCTACCACTACCCCGGCCACCAGCTCTGCACCCTCCGCTGCAACTTGCAGCTTTTTCTACAGAAACAGATCGTGCCTTTCTCTAAGCAGTAGGAAGCAGATTATTCAGTCAACCTTTTTATCTGTTATTGATTATGGTGATATTATTTATCAAAATGCAGCTGCTACTACTCTTAAACCTTTGGATGCCATCTACCATAGTGCCCTTTGTTTTTTTACAGGTGACAGTTTTGATACACATCACAGCATCCTGTATCAAAAGGTTGGCTGGACTTCGCTAAAGATCCGTAGATCTCTACATTACTCCCTTTTTGTTTACAAGGCCCTACTTCATTAACTTCTGTCGTATCTAACTTTGCTGTTGAAGTATAGACACCTGAGTTGCATAACCCATTCACAGGTTTGAGGTTCCTAGGGTCTCCGCCGAGCTAGGTAAATCTACTTTTAGTTTCAAAGCACCGTATTGCTGGAACAAAATTCTAAATACATTTCATCTTAATGTTCTGGTGCCGTTCGGGCAGTTTAGAGTATTGATTGGGGACGTATTTGTGGTGGAATGTTACTATTTTTCTGGGTGATATGTGCTGTTTTACTTGTGCTTCCCATGACTGTGTTTTTGTATTTTAATGCACCAGTCAAAAGTTTGGACACCTACTTATTCAAGGGTTTTTCTTTGTTTTTACTATTTTCAACATTGTAGAATAATAGTGAAGACATCAAAACTATGAAATAACACATATGGAAACATGAAGTAACCAAAAAAGTGATAAACAAATCCAAACATATTTTATATTTGAGATTCTTCAAAGAAGCCACCCTTTGCGCACTCTTGGCGTTCTCTCAACCAGCTTCATGAGGTAGTCACCTGGAATGCATTTCAGTTAACAGGTGTGCCTTGTTAAAAGTTAATTTGTGGAATTTCTTTCCTTCTTAATGCGTTTGAGCCAATCAGTTGTGTTGTGACAAGGTAGGGGTGGTATACAGAAGATAGCCCTACTTGGTAAAATAATAACACAACAAGCAGCAGAGCTTGTGCAATGGTGTGGGACGCGGCAACAACACAGCAGCAGCAGAGCACTTGCAATGCAATGAGAAGGCCACGGTACGAGCAAGCACAGTGCCACAAAGCGAGTGACACAATGACAATCTTCTCCCGTATTTCCACATACTGTACATCCACAATCATCAATCCACATCAAATCCACAGTAGTCAATTAAGTTGACACAATTTGACACAATCCACCACTTCCGCAATCAACCAATTCCAGAGTCCTCATACCATCACAGCAATCCAATCCAAGCAAAGCAATTAATTTAACGTTTTCAACTTTTGTTATGGCTTCGGTTCCACAGGTTTTATTTAACCAATTCTATTATAAACACCAATATACAGGTAGGTTCCAACTCATTTCCTATTAATCCATATCTTCCAATAAACGTCTTGAGATGTATTGATTGCAATCCAGTTTGTCAAGCATTTCCAAGGTTTGGGTAATTAAGGCGTTGATTGTTTTCCAGGTTGTTTGAACAGATTCCAAATGATAATGATGGTAAAAAGCTAACTCAAAAAGCTACAGAATGATCCACAAAAAAACAGTAAATGAAAGGATAAGGCGAGATATGAAATAAAATACACGGTTGAAAACTGTAACTCTTCGTGGCGTCTATAACAGCTAGTTCACCTGTTGTAAATTACTGACTGGCGCCATCTTGGCAGTTAACTTGCCCTTAAATGCGGTTCTAGGTTGTGAAACATTAATTGGCCAGCAGCTGACAGAATAACCTAAATAATATTAATTTTTCCTAAATAAAACTTTTTACATTTTTGTTCCTTTAGCAGACCTCTTATCCAGAGCGACTTACATTTAGTTAAATACATTTTTTTTTTTTTTTTTTTTTTTTATACTGGCCCCTGTGGAATCGAACCCACACCCTGCGTTGCAAACGCCCATGCTCCTATCAACTGAGCTACATCCCTGCCGCCTTCCCTCCCTACCCTGGGCCATTGTGTGCCGGCCGATGAGTCCTCCCGGTCGCAGCCGGCTGCGACAGAGCCTGATTGAACCAGACTCTATGGCACAGTTAGCACTGCCGATGCGCGCCTTAGACACTGCGCCACTCATGAGACAACTGACATACATTTTGATACACAATTCTTAAACAATCAAAAATGGCTCTTACAGTTAGTAAATAGTGTATTGGTAAATACCATGTAAATACCACCTTAAACTGAGCTGTAAAATAAAGCAAAACCAAAGCAACATTTGTGATTAAGAGCACATCTACCTTCTCAGCCATCATTTTGAGGAAGACATCGAAGATTTTATCACCGACACAGATCACACACTGTATCATACCTAATGATACATTGAATCAGAAACAGAAAAAACTTATATACAACTAATATACAACATTATAACACAGATTACACCCACCCGATTCGTCCTTCTGGATGGCTTTGTCCTCAAAGTACCGGAACATCACCTCATGTACTCTAGCCTGTAAACAGACAGTAGGTACGTTGACATGGCAAAGTCTAGTTTGTTGATGAGAAGAGATCCTTCAGGGGAGGGGTCCAACAGGTTGATGATGGTGGATCGTAGGTCACTCAGCTCGGCCTGGATGATAGACAGGTAGCTATACTTAACAAAAGGGGACAGGTAGAGTTAGACTTAGACAGGGACAATTAGAGTTCCAATAAAGATACAGGTGTCATTATTTAGGGTAGGTGACTTGACCACCTGACTGTGCTGTACTTTGTGTGTGTGTGTGTGTGTGTGTGTGTGTGTGTGTGTGTGTGTGTGTGTGTGTGTGTGTGTGTGTGTGTGTGTGTGTGTGTGTGTGTGTGTGTGTGTGTGTGTGACTGGCATAGTTGTACCGTAGTTCCGAGTGGAGCGGTTCACCGCTGGGGAAGATCAGGAGACTTGGTGGTGATCTCACACACTCCCTCATACCAATTCTCTGGCCATAGACCCGATCCCTCCATGGCAAAGCCCATGACAACAGAGTACAGCCAGAAGTCCCTGAAGAGCTTCTGAAGGAGTGGCTTAGCCTCAATGATTGGCAGCAGCCGTCTGGTCAGCAGTAAATGGAGAGAAAAGGGAGATGGATAGAGAGATTTTTGTAAAACATATTTTTAAAATGTCACACTTTATTCAGACTGCTGGTAAAAAAGGGGAGACAGGCTGGGAGCGTTACCGCTAGCCCACAGGCTTTGCACAGGTATATTTAGATGACAGAGGGAGAGACAGAGATTGAATGTCACTGAGGAGAACTCAGTGGTCCACGTGCCATGAGAAATAATAACTTTTTTTCCAATGAAGGCCAGTGAATCTGGATTGCGATGGCATTGTAAAATCTAAAGTAACAATGTATGGCATATCATTAACATGTATAACTTTTTTTCACAAAATAGCCAATTTTTACTATATTAATGATTAAACATGTAAAACTGTGTAATCTCCAATAATTGATGTCAGCGTATCAATTAAAGTTATCAGATAAATGAACAAAAATCAGACAAAAAATACAGATATAGTATTACGCGATCAAGTGACTGGGGAAGAGTTAAAATTTCAGACGGACGTAGCACTTTGTACCCTTTGTTGTTTGATCTGAGCTATTTGTTCAGGGTAAGAGGACATCAAAGTTCAGTTTGGGCTTTCTGCTCTTTCTTCACAGTGTTGCAAACAGACCAAAGACATAAGTTCCCACCATCACAGAGAAAGCACAGGTAAGCCATTTTACAGTCCTTGACTGACTGCCATCAAATACGTGAATCCTAACACGATAAAGACTATCACTGTCGTGTTCGTACATAACCCCTATTTATTAACTGAAAGGTTCCTCTGAAATTAAACAGAAATGTTTGCGAGATTTGAACAACTGCTGAATAATTATTTTTAGAAAAGGGGGCAAAGTGTTAATTCAAGTCAAATAAAGAGTTTGGATGTTCTTTTGTGTGTATGTCTTCAACCAAAAGAAGGCTAAGCATGTTGCTATTGATATTGATCATGGTTCTTAATAAATGCCTTATGTCAGTGTTTCTCAAATGGTGGGTCGTGACTGATTCCTTTTGTGAAGACTTAGTCTTGACTAGAAACCCTGGTATTAGGTTATTTTGAGTCACAATAGGAAAGTTTGATCAATCTCCTCTAGCTCTGTCTTTCGTGGTGTTGACGGTGGTTTGTTCTAGATGAATAAATGCCTTCTATGTCTGTCTGTTGTGTCCGTGTCAGGATGTGGGTCGTCACGGTCATCGCTGTGTCCTGTGTCCTTGTCGGTCCCTCTCTGGCCGGGGTCAAGGACCTGGGCTCTCACTTCAGCTTCTATGACCAGAGTCCAACCCCAAACACTGAGCCAGACCCACGAGGCCTCGGCCAGGGTGGAGCTCTGGACATGGAGAACATTCCTCTGGAGTTCCACAAAGAGAACACTGTGACCAATGATCTGCCCCTGGAAGGCTTTGAGGACGAAGACTACATCGACTTTGACAAAATCCTGGCTGAAGGAGGGGATGACTACAGGTGGGTGTTACACATTTTACTTATCCTGTAACGATGTCAAGGGATTTAAGCACTGGGTAGCTCCAAAGACATAAAATCCATTGATTGCAGTGGTTGGAGCATGGTGCATGCTTGTGGGTTTGATTGACTGTGTAAATCTTTTTGGATTAAAAACCTCTGCTAAATGAACATATTTTCATAATATTTATATTATTACAGTGAGGGGGATGAGATTGATGAGATTGCAACTCCCGCTTCGGACATCGACATCTTCGCTGAACCCTCAGATCCAAAGACGCGGCGTGCCCGACTCCTGAGACTATTTCATGACCGCTCACGCCTCCAACGAATCAACGTGGTCAACGCCCACTTTGGCTTCAATCTCTACCGCAGCCTTCGGAACGATGTCAACCAGACCCACAACATTCTGCTGGCGCCCGCCGGAATCTCCATCGCCATGGGCATGATGTCACTGGGAGCGGGGCCTGGAACACATGCTCAGCTCTACCGGGCGCTGGGATTCGCAGATTTTGTCAATGCCAGCAATCACTACGACAACACCACCGTGCACAAGCTGTTCCGAAAGCTCACGCACAGACTCTTCCGACGGAATTTCGGGTACATGCTGCGTTCCGTTAACGACCTGTACGTGAAAAAGGAGGTGGCGGTGGAACCGAGTTTCCGGGCAGACACCAAGGCATACTATTTTGCAGAGCCCCAATCGGTGGACTTCAGGGACAAGGCGTTTCTGGACAAGGCCAACCGGCGCATCTCAAAGCTGACCAAAGGACTGATCAGAGAACCACTGAAAAATGTGGACCCCAATATGGTGCTGATGCTACTCAACTACCTCTACTTTAAAGGTAAGGACAACATCAGAGCAATAAGCCTAAACTATGCCATTTCTATTAACCAAGCTCCAAGTATCTGTCTGTCTCTGATTAGATTGTGTCAACATGAAGTACAATCTTTTAAAGTAATACATTATGGTCTATATTATATTTCCATTAGGGCTAGATTTTAACAACTAACTTAAAATCCTCTCTTTGTAAGACAATTGAGAAACATCTTATTGACACAAGCCAATCTATATCTCATCCACACAAACAACAAATCCCCACCACACAAAAAACAAATCCCCATCAAACAAACAACAAATCCCCACCACACAAACAACAAATCACCACCACACAAACAACAAATCCCCACCACACAAACAACAAATCTCCACCACACAAACAACAAATCCGTACCACACAAACAACAAATCCCCACCACACAAACAACAAATCCCCACCAAACAAACAACAAATCCCCACCACAAAAACAACAAATCCCCACCACACAAACAACAAATCCCCACCACACAAACAACAAATCCCCACCACACAAACAGGTACGTGGGAGCAGAAATTCCAAAAGGAGATGACTCACTACCGGAACTTCCGTGTGAATGAGAAGACAAATGTTCGAGTGCCAATGATGCAGAACAAAGGGAACTACCTGGCGGCTGCAGACCACGAACTGCAGTGTGACATCCTACAGGTGGGTGGTAGACATTTAGTTCAGGGAAGTGAGATATATATATATAAAAAAAAAGAAGATTCAGTGCAGTGCAATATAGGCCTACAGTATAGGGCTGGCACAATTACTGTATAACCGTGTAACCGTGTAACCGACGGTTATGGATGAAGACCGTCGTGAAAAAGATGATCATATTATTATCGTCATGATTATTCTAGCTGCCGTATGTGGGGAACATCAGCATGCTCATCGCCCTGCCCAGGAAGATCTCAGGCATGAGGAACCTGGAGCAAGAGATCTCCCCCACAGTGGTCAACAAGTGGCTCAGCAACATGACCAACAGGTGAGCACACATGACCACACCTGGTCACACCTGACCAATAGGTAAGAACCTGAGTGACCGACAGGCATACATGATAAAAGAGAAGAGCACATATGACCATACAAGACAACAGGTGGCCATTCCAGGCAAAACTTGACCAACATGTGAGCAGACCTGGCCCAAGGTGAACAGGAATGAACACCGGAAACAGTATGAACAAAATATGACCACTAGGTTAGAGTATAGGGCCAAAACATGACTAACAAATGATGGAAGCTATGGGATAAGAGATACAGTGCCTTCAGAAACTATTCACTCCCCTTCACTTTTTCCCACATTTTGTTGTGTTACAGCGTGAATTTAAAATGGATGCTGACTGAATTTTGTTTTTAGAATCTTTTACAAATTAATTAAAAATGAAAAGCTCAAATGTCTTAAGTCAAGTATTCAACCCCTTTGTTATGGCAAGCCTAAATACGTTCATGAGTGAAAATGTGCTTAACAACTCACATAATAAGTTGCATGGACTCACTCTGTATTCAATAATAGTGTTTAACATGATTTTTGAATGACTACCTCATCTCTGTACCCCACACATAAAATTATCTCTAAGGTCCCTCAGTTGAACAGTGAATTTCAAACACAGATTCAACCACAATGACCAGAGAGGTTTTCCAATGCCTCGCAAAGAAGGGCACCTATTTGTAGATTGAAAAATAATTAAAAAAACAGACATTGAATACCCCTTTGAGCATGGTGAAGTTATTAATTACACTTTGGATCTTGTATCAATACACCCAGTCACAACAAAGATATAGGCGTTCTTCCTAACTCAGTTGCCGGAGAGGAAGGAAACAGCTCAGGGATTTATACCATGAGGCCAATGGTGACTTTAAAACAGTTACAGAGTTTAATGGCTGTGATAGGAGAAAACCGAGGATGGATCAACAACATTATAGTTACTCCACAATACTAACCTAATTGACAGAGTGAAAAGAAGGAAGCCTGTACAGAATACAAATATTCCAAAAACATGCATCCTGATTGCAATAAGGCACAAAAGTAATACTGCAGAAAATGTGGCAAAGCAATTAAGTTTTTGCACTGAATACAAAGTATTAAGTTTGGGGCAAATCCACTTACTGAGTACCACTCTCCATACTTTCAAGCTTTGTGGTGGCTGCATCATGGTATGTGTATGCTTGTAATCGTTAAGGTTTTGTAGGATAGAAAAGAAACGGAATGGAGCTAAGCACAGGCAAAATCCTAGAGGAAAACCTGGTTCAGTCTGCAGGACAATAACCTAAAACACAAGGCCAAATCTACACTTGAGTTGCTTACCAAGAAGACAGTGAAAGTGATATTCACTGTCTTCTTGGTAAGCAACTCAAGTGTAGATTTTGGCCTTGTGTTTTAGGTTTCTAACCCCTTTTTCTCCCCAATTTCATGGTATCCAATTGGTAGTAACAGTCTTGGTCCCATCGCTGCAACTCCCGTACGGACACTGGAGAGGCGAAGGTCGAGAGCCGTGCGTCCTCCGAAACACAACCCTACCGAGCCGCACTGCTTCTTGACACAATGCCCGCTTAACCCAGAAGCCAGCCGCACCAATGTGTCGGAGGAAACACCGTACACCTGGCAACCGTGTCAGCGTGCACTGTGCCCGGCCCGCCACAGGAGCCGCTAGCGCGCGATGGGACAATCTGAACATCTGTGCCAGCCAAACCCTGCCCTAACCTGGATGACGCTGGGCCAATTGTGCGCCGCCCCATGTGTCTCCCGGTCACGGCCGGCTGCAACAGAGCCTGGACTCGAACCAAGTGGCATAGCTAGCACTGCGATGAAAACCAATTTGTCAGAGCTTGAAGAATTTTGAAAATAATAAATGTGTAAATGTTGCACAATCCAGGTGTGGAAAGATCGTTGAGACTTACCCAGAAAGACTTACAGCTGTAATCATTGCCAAAGATGTGTCTACAAAGTATTGACTCAGGGCTGTGAATACCTATGTAAATGCAATATTTCTGTATTTCATTTTCAATACATTTCTAAAAACATGTTTTCACTTTGTCATTATGGGGTATTGTGTGTAGATGGGTGAGAGAAAAAAAACATATTGAATCCATTTTGAATTCAGCCTATAACAACAAAATGTGGAATAAATCAAGGGATATGAATACTTTCTGAAACCACTGTATGGGTTAAAAGAGTATATTCTGTATTGGTCTCTACCCAAGGACGCGTGAGGTGGTGTTCCCCAGGTTTAAGCTGGAGCAGAGTTATGACCTGATAGACAACCTTAAGGAGATGGGCCTCACAGACCTGTTTGAGGAGAGGGGCGACTTTACTGGGATGACTTCAGAGAAGATCGCAATTAACTGGGTAAACAAACCTCCAAGAGAGCAAACACCACAATCTTAACTTTCACTGCTCGATGCTGACAACAGCAATACGCTGTCAAAGCCAAGTCACTTTTCAGCTATCTAATAATGTTAGATGGGTCGTAACTCGATTCTCTCTCTCCTCTCCCCACCAGTTGAAGCACCAGGGGACGATCACGGTGAACGAGGAGGGGACGGAGGCTGCGGCTCTGACCCAGGTGGGCTTCATGCCCCTCTCCTCACAGATACGATTTGTCATAGACCGGCCCTTCCTCTTCCTCATCTACGAGCACCGCACAGACTGCCTCGTCTTCGTGGGCCGCGTGGTCGACCCCTCAAAGAGCTAAACGCTTGGTAACACTGTATCTTCAAGGGATAGTTCATTCTATCTTGAAAAATGTACCTACTAATATGCATCACTTTTGGGGGATTGTATTAACAGTGGACTAATGAACAAAATCCCCCCAGAAATATTAATGAACTATCTTTTTAATGTCCTTTTTCAGCTAGCATTTACCCAAAGTAGGATGCCATTTCAGGAATATTGGCCTGTTAACCAATTCTACTGATACTACAATAGGACTACTAGCTGTCATGGTGAACTGTATGAACCTGTGTCTGAGAGAGGTTAGTCAGGAGTGTTGTTATTTGTTGTCTGTTAATGTTCCATCTCTCTATACATCTACAGTGGAAGTTGTTCGACTAGAAACACTAAGCTTTGGCTATTAAAGAAATGTTTTAGGGGAAAACAATATAGTCAATTTGACTATCTTGTTTAGTTTTTTTTATGTTGGATGTTTGGATGTTCTGAAAAGTGTTTAGCTACTGTGTATGTAAAGTTCTGTCTAGAAAGTTAGCTAAAATGATATGCAAAAGCATATGAGACTGTTGAACATGCTTTTGTGTTGTATGACAAACATTTAAACAGCTTTACAAGTTACAATGCAGGTGCAAAATATTTTTCCCTAGTACATTTACACCGATATAAAAAACTATCTCATTCAAAATTGTCCGGTTTGGCTCAGTCGGTAGCGCTTGCAATGCCAGGATTGTGGGTTTGATATCCAGTAGCCACCCATATGTAAAATGTATAACTAAGTCACTTTGGCTAAAAGCATCTGCTAAATGACATATATATATATATATATATATTAAAATACAGTCAGCTTTCCAATAAAGGGTGAAAACAAAAGCTCCAAGATAAAAACCCAGTTACATATTTTGCAAGCAGAGTAAATATTTGTCGGCAGAGTTAAACTCTAATTAGATGGAGCTCAGATCTTTTTGGGTTGGTATGTGATGGCACCAACAGATCCATCACACACACACACACACACACACACACAAGCATGCACACGCGCGCACAACCACACACACTAGGGTTGGGCGATGTCAACCTTTTTCCTATCGTGATTATGTACCAATGAAACATTGTGATATACGATGGTATTGGCTATATACAGTTGAAGTCGGAAGTTTACATACACCTTAGCCAAATACATTTAAACTCCGTTTTTTCACAATTCCTAACATATAATCCTAGTAAAAAGTATCTGTCTTGAGTCAATTAGGATCACCACTTTATTTTAAGAATTTTAAATGTCAGAATAATAGTAGAGAGAATTATTTATTTTAGCTTTTATTTCTTTCATCACATTCCAGTGGGTCAGAAGTTTACATACACTCAATTAGTATTTGGTAGCATTGCCTTTAAATTATTTAACTTGGGTCAAACGTTTCGGATAGCCTTCCACAAGCTTCCCACAATAAGTTGGGTGAATTTTGGCCCATTCCTCCTCACACACGCCTTTTCAGTTCTGCCCACACATTTTCAATAGGATTGAGGTCAGGACTTTGTGATGGCCACTCCAATACCTTGACTTTGTTGTCCTTAAGCCATTTTGCCACAACTTTGGAAGTATGCTTGGGGTCGTTGTCCATTTGGAAGATCCATTTGCGACCAAGCTTTAACTTCCTGACTGATGTCTTGAGATGTTGCTTCAATATATCCACATAATTTTCCTTCCTCATGATGCCATCTATTTTGTGAAGTGCACCAGTCCCTCCTGCAGCAAAGCACCCCCACAGCATGATGCTGCCACCCCCGTGCTTCACGGTTGGGATGGTGTTCTTCAGCTTGCAAGCAACCCCCTTTTTCCTCCAAACATACTGATGGTCATTATGGCCAAACAGTTCTATTTTTGTTTCATCAGACCAGAGGACATTTCTCCAAAAAGTACGATCTTTGTCCCCATGTGCAGTTGCAAACTGTAGTCTGGCTATTTTATGGCAGTTTTGGAGCAGTGGCTTCTTCCTTGCTGAGCGGCCTTTCGGGTTATGTCGATATAGGACTAATTTTACTGTGGATATAGATACTTTTGTACCTGTTTCCTCCAGCATCTTCACAAGGTCCTTTGCTGTTGTTCTGGGATTGATTTGCACTTTTCGCACCAAAGTACGTACATCTCTAGGAGAAAGAACGCGTCTCCTTCCTGAGCGGTATGACGGCTGCGTGGTCCCATGGTGTTTATACTTGTGTACTATTGTTTGTACAATACCTTCAGGCGTTTGGAACCTTCAGGTGTTTGGAAACACTGCTGGGCTTATAGACTTTCATTCTTGTTCTTTTTGAAAGCGGCAACATTAGGACAACACCTTTTTAGGCTAGAATATTTGGGAAATAGGCTAAAAAATGGGAAGACACTTTGCACAGACAGCATACAGTATTTACCACACCAATGACTGGAATAAGGACTCCAAGGTTGCCTGCACTGCTGGATGCCTGAAAGAGGGAGGAGGGGAAATCACTCTCAGACACTGTCGTTATTACTGTATTACCTTCATTTATTCAAGTCAACATTTGTGTGCTAAAACTCTTCAGATGAATCATGTTGCCAAAGAGGTCTCCAATCACCTGTTATCGCCCTCAGTTTGTTTGCGTGTGTGTGTGTACCTTCAATGCAGGGTCCTTGTCCAAGTCCCTCTCGCTGACTCTCTTGCCCTCCACGCCCAGCTGGACAAACAGTTCCAACACATTGACCATCAGCTCATCAACCAGTAGCTCCCCCTGCTGGAGATTGACTGAGATATTGGCCAGAGCATTGATCACAGCCAGGGAGCAGTGTCTGCAGTATACACAAATACCGCACACACAACTTTGTCATTTCAACACTTCATGAAAGCCCATGTAGCCCTTTTGACACCCATGATGGTATGTGTACTCCTTTGAGGAAAAACCCACCTGTATCCATGGTCTCTGTAGTCCTTAGTGGTGGAGTACACCACTGAGCTGGCTTTCACACTGATCTGCTGGAACAGGTTCCACATTTCCTGGTAGATGTATTGCTAAGGAGAATATATATAATATATACTTTTATCCAAAGCGACTTACAGTCATCCATCCATCCATTTTACGTATGGGTGGCCTCAGTGGAAATCGAAGCCATGCTCTACCAACTGAGCCACACAGGGCCATGGAGAGAGAGAGAGGAAGTGAGAGAGAGGGGGAGGTGAGTTTACTGAGAGAGAAGGGAGTGAATTCACTGAGGGGGAAATTTGTTTGCGTGTGAGTGTGTGCGTGTGTGCGTGCATGGACAACTCATATTGCCTGTGATGACCATGCAGCCCAGTTGACGTATGATGACATCAAGCTAGTAGGACAGCTGGCAGAACTTCTGCTGCAGGATGGACTCTATGACTCGGGGAGTGTCCCTCAGAGCCACCACTGATTTTGTGTTCCGGGATAAGGTGGGCCTCTCTGGGAGAGAGAGAGACGACGGATTGGTCAGAGTGTATGTCAATCATTCATGGATAGTGTTATCATTAGTAAAAGGGGGAGAGGGAGACAACGGATTGGTCAGAGTGGCTGTCAATCATGTGTAGCAGTGCTATCATTAGTAAAAGGGGCAATAAGGGGTCTCGTCATCATACCCCCAATAATACTCATCATCATCATGTAAAAAATTACACGGAAATGTGTCTTACTTTTCATTCTCCTGGGAGATGTAGAGACGGTTGGACAGGCTAGCCAGGAAAGCCTCTACTGTGACACCTGAGATAGAGAGTGAGGGAGTAAGGTTGTTAATGCTATAAGTAATCAATTGGAGGGGGCCTCCCAGGTGTATGTGGGAGTCCTAACCGCAGTCCTAACTTTAACCATTATTTGGGAAGAGCCAACAGCCAGAAAGCAGCAAGATGGAGACATAAGAGAGTGGGATGAGAAAGACAAGGTCAAACTTATTATAATTAAAATGTCTACTTCTAATTGCATATGGTCGAAAGTGTTTTGGGGAAATCTAGACCTGTTCTAACACTGTCATAAATCTACGGAGGAAGGATAACTTGACTTTCACTTGCAAGTGGGAGGGATTATGGAGAACCAGACGTGGCTCTGATTGGGCAATGATGACATCAAGACAAAAAAGGACAACCTCCTAAACAATGTCCAACAATGTGAAGGCCATGAAGGATCTTGGTGCTTCCCTATACCACAAGGACAGCAGTCACACAGCCCACTGTATAAATAATGGTAGACTCATCCACATCATCTTTGATGTACTTCCTCCTTAAAAATGGCAAAAAAACATGGACTATATGTAAATACAGTTTAGTTCATATACTAGACGATTGCTAATTACTATATACTATATACTACTGCTTATTGAGATATTCAGCTGTTCAATACAGCTAATCACTATGCTTATGTTCCTATATATCTGTCTCAACAGCAGTCTGGTCATCAGATTTTGTGGCGACACATCGGAATGTTTTACAACAATGATAAAACTAATCGCTTGAGGCTTGCTCTACGCTAACAGACCGGCACATCCACCTGCCACCATTCGCCAACATGAGGGTTTGGCTGGCAACTGAAATCTTCCGCCATTCTGTTGCTGCAGGTAGGCCTTAACTTCACATACAGTGCATTCGGAAAGTATTCCACATTTTGTTACGTTACAGCCTTATTCTAAAATGGATTACATTACTTTTTTCTCTCATCAATCTACAGACAATACCCCATAATGACAAAGCGAAAACAGGTTTTTAGAACATTTTTGACAATTTATTACAAATAAAAAACAAATACCTTATTTACATAAGTATTCAGACCCTTTGCTATAAGACTTGAAATTGAGCTCAGGTGCATCCTGTTTCCATTGATCATCCTTGAGCTGATTCTACAACTTGATAGGAGTCCACCTGTGGTAAATTAATTATATTGGACATGATTTGAAAAGACACACACCTGTCTATATAAGGTCCCACAGTTGACAGTGCATGTCAGAGCAAAAACCAAGCCATGAGGTCGAAGGAATTGTCCGTAGAGCTCCGAGACAGGATTGTGTCGAGGCACAGATCTGGGGAAAACATTTCTGCAGCATTGAACGTCCCCAAGAACACAGTGGCCTCCATCATTCTTACATTTACAGTAATTTCTGATGCTCTTATCAAGAGCAACTTACAGGATCAATTAGGGTTATGTGCCTTGCTCAAGGGCACACCTACAGATTTTTCACCTAGTCGGCTCTGGGATTAGAACCAGCAACCTTTCGGTTACTGGCACAACGCTCTTAACCACTAAGCTACCTGCCGCCCATAACTGGAAGAAGTTTGGAGCCACCAAGACTCTTCCTAGAGCTGGCCGCCTGGCCAAACGGAGCAATCGGGGGAGAAGAGCCTTGGTCAGGGAGGTGACCAAGAACCCGATGGTCACTTTGACGGAGCTCCAGAGTTCCTCTGTGGAGATGGGAGAACCTTCCAGAAGGACAACCATCTCTGCAGCACTCCACCAATCAGGCCTTTTTTGTAGCGTGGCCAGACGGAAGCCACTCCTCAGTAAAAGGCACATGACAGCCTGCTTGGAGTTTGCCAAAAGGCACCTAAAGGACTCTCAGACCATGAGAAACAAGATTCTCTGGTCTGATGAAACCAAGATTGAACTCTTTGGCCTGAATGCCAAGGGTCACATCTGGAGGACACCTGGCACCATCCCTACTGTGGAGCATTGTGGTGGCAGCATCATGCTTTTTTTCAGCTGCAAGGACTGGGAGACTAGTCAAATGAAATCAAATCAAAAGTTATTTGCCAAATGCACCGAATACAACAGGTGTAGACATTACTGTGAAATGCTTACTTACAGCCCTTAACCAACAATTCATTTTTTTTAAATAAAAAAAGTAAAATAAAACAACAACAACAAAAAGTGTTGAGAAAAAAAAGAAAATAAGTAAAATAAAATAACAGTAGGGAGCAGTGGCGGCTCCTGAAAAAATTCTCAGGAGGGGCAATTTTTCTGATGATTTAGGTGACCTACACACATTTTAAAAAAGATATGTCCAGCAACAACATGAAGACAGGGGCAGCATATAAGTCAATACCAGAAGCATTTATTGACTGATCTGGGGAGATGGATTCCAGTTTCTGTGACAGATTATAAATAATCTCTGATGCCTTTGTTATATTAGCTTTTGGTTGAATGTACTGTCGTAGTAAATATATAATGTTATAGCTTGGTCTGACTAAAATCTTGTGCATGACCCATTTTGTGTTGGGCGTTTGTTTTCAATCAATGCTGTTCCTATCCTATAACAATGGACAAAAGAGTCCTATCTTGTCAGCCTTGTCAGCAGGTGGCCAAGGACAACACCCACGCCATAGGTCTCTCAGTTCTTCCAACTCACGAGTTCTTGCTCTGAGGACACACACACACACACACACACACACACATCATCACTGATAACACACACACACATCATCACTGTTAAACACACACACACACACACACACAAAAATCCCCTCTCTTTAGGCTGAACATTTGAAGACAGAGAACCCGACTCAGAGCCAATGCAACAGTGGAGGGGACCTCGCCCAACTCATCAGGACCAATCAGAAGATCAGAACTACTAGATTCAACCTACATCATTTATTGTATAAAATGTCTGCACACAATGTTTTCGGGGCTCTCTTCAGATAGCTCCCTAAGAGTTTGACGAACGAGTCCGTGCACGCGATTCCAGATATCTTTACCTCTGAATAAACTGCCTTTATTATACCATATCCACCCTGTCCAAAGTCTCTACTTGGTCTCAGTTCTCCAGTAAACTTGTGATTATCAACAGTACACAACGGTAACAAACAATTGGGGGAACTCACGGGGCAGATAGTAAGGTCGCAGTGACACAGAAAGCAGTTCAATGTCGGGGGTACAGAGTCGCTCTCTTACCAGGATCGATTTTCCCTGTGACTGTCAGACCGGCCGGCTCCACTTCTCTGTCCGGGACTCTGTCATCCAGCCAAGTCTCCCAGCTGTATTGGATTCCGCTGCCAGCAGCGTTTTCATTATTTAGTCCGTTCGTAGCGGGTATGTACACGATCAACAAGATCAGTCCAAAACCCACCACTGGAAATCCATGGTTGGCAGAATGTTTGTAAACTAAGTGTACAAATTAAAAACATAAAATAACGCCACTAAGTGTACAAATTAAAAACATAAGATAACGCCACACTGCAGGTCGCAACAGAGACGCTGCTAGCTGCTATTTTCTTAGTTACGTTCATGGCTACGTCACGTATGACGAAAGCGCGTAAGTGCAAGCCCACAGACACCCATAGAGATTGTATTGAAAGCTTTGAAATTTGAAAAAAATAGATTTTACATGACAGGCTATGAGAGACTTCTGGGCGATTTTCAACCTGACTGAAATCGCCCCAAAAACGGGCGGGGCCATTTGAAGCACGACTTTAGCCTGATTTGACATTTAGTGGCAGTCAGATCAGATAAGAACACTGATAACTACTGTTGCCGTGATATAATTGATTAGAAAAAAAATCCCTTCCTTTTCCCGTTTGGCAGTGCGTCGCCCATATCGCCCTATTGAACAGGCCGTCCCTGGTAGGGAGGCTATATACAGGGGGGTACCGGTGCAGAGTCAATGTGCGGGGGCACCGGCTAGTTGAGGTAGTTGAGGTAATATGTACATGTGGGTAGAGTTAAATTGACTATGCATAAATAATTAACAGAGTAGCAGCAGCGTAAAAAGATGGGGTGGGGGTGGGGGGGGGGGCAGTGCAAATATTCCGGGTAGCCATGATTAGCTGTTCAGGAGTCTTATGGCTTGGGGGTAGAAAATGTTGAGAAGCCTTTTGGACCTAGACTTGGTGCTCCGGTACCGCTTGGAGAATTTTGAGGGCCTTCCTCTGACACCGCCTGGTATAGAGGTCCTGGATGGAAGGAAGCTTGGCCCCAGTGATGTACTGGGCCGTACACACTACCATCTGTAGTGCATTGTGGTCGGAAGCCGAGCAGTTGCCATACCAGGCGGTGATGCAACCAGTCAGGATGCTCTCGATGGTGCGGCTGTAGAACTTTTTGAGGATCTGAGGACCCATGACAAATATTTTCAGTCTCCTGAGGGGGAATAGGCTTTGTCGTGCTCTCTTCACGACTGTCTTGGTGTGTTTGGACCATGATAGTTTGTTGGGTGATGTGGACACCAAGGAACTTGAAGCTCTCAACCTGTTCCACTACAGCCCCGTCGATGAGAATGGGGGCGTGCTCAGTCCTCTCTTTTTTCCTGTAGTCCACAATAATCTCCTTTGTCTTGGTAACGTTGAGGGAGAGGTTGTTAGCCTGGCACCACACGGCCAGGTCTCTGACCTCCTCCCTATAGGCTGTCTCATCACTGTCGGTGATCAGGCCTACCACTGTTGTGTCATCGACAAACTTATTGATGGTGTTGGAGTCGTGCCTGGCCATGCAGTCATGGGTGAACAGGGAGTATAGGACGGGACTGAGCACGCACCCCTGAGGGGCCCCCGTATTGAGGATCAGCGTGGCAGATGTGTTGTTACCTATCCTTACCACCTGGGGGTGGCCCGTCAGAAAGTCCAGGATCCAGTTGCAGAGGGGGGTGTTTAGTCCCAGGATCCTTAGCTTAGTGATGAGCTTTGAGGGCACTATGGTGTTGAATGCTGAGCTGTAGTCAATGAATAGCATTCTCACGTAGGTGTTCCTCTTGTCCAGGTGGGAAAGGGCAGTGTGGAGTGCAATAGAGATTGCATCATCTGTGGATCTGTTGGGGTGGTATGCAAATTGGAGTGGGTCTAGGTTTTCTGGGATAATGGTGTTGATGTGAGCCATGGCCAGCCTTTCGAAGCACTTCATGGCTACACACTCAGTCAGGGACATGTTGAAAATGTCAGTGAAGACACTTGCCAGTTGGTCAGCACATGCTCTGAGTACACGTCCTGGTAATCCGTCTGGCCCTGCGGCCTTGTGAATGTTGACCTGCTTAAAAGTCTTACTCACATCGGCTACGGAGAGCGTGATCACATAGTCATCAGGAACAGCTGGTGCTCTCACGCATGCTTCAGTGTTGCTTGCCTCAAAGCGAGCATAGAAGTGGTTTAGCTCGTCTGGTAGGCTTGTGTCACTGGGCAGCTCGTGGCTGTGCTTCCCTTTGTAGTCTGTAATAGTTTTCAAGCCCTGCCACATCCGACGAGCGTCAGAGCCGGTGTAGTACGATTCAATCTTAGTCCTGTATTGACTCTTTGCCTGTTTGATGGTTCGTCGGAGGGCATAGTGGGATTTCTTATAAGCGTCCGGGTTAGAGTCCCGCTCCTTGAAAGCGGCAGCTCTACCCTTTAGCTCAGTGTGGATGTTGCCTGTAATCCATGGCTTCTGGTTGGGGTATGTACGTACTGTCACTGTGGGTACGACGTCATCGATGCACTTATTGATGAAGCCAGTGACTGATGTGGTGTACTCCTCATTACTATCTGAAGAATCCCGGAACATGTTCCAGTCTGTGCTAGCAAAACAGTCCTGTAGCTTAGCAACTGCATCATCTGACCACTTCCTTATTAACCGAGTCACTGGTGCTTCCTGCTTTAGTTTTTGCTTATAAGCAGTAGTCAGGAGGATAGAGTTACAGTTTTTCTCAGTCGCTTTGGTGCATTTCTTAGATCAAAAGTGCAATTCTTGATACTACTTGTACAAATTCCAAATCATCTAGTCACTTGTGCACATCATTAAAGCAATTTCTTATTCCTTTGAACAAATTGCAATTGCTTTTGTACATATTGCATTTGATAATGTACAAGTGTCAGCTTTTTTCCACATTTTCAATTGCTCATGTCATGTTGATCAAAATATAGTAGATGGTTCTCTGTTGAATAGTCTTACCCCTCAAAACATCTAGGCATTAGTTCCTTGCATAAGCCATTACATGCAAAATTGTTGAACTATTTGTCATAAACTGTCAAGCATAGTTTTACACATTTCTATTAGACCTTTTGTACAAAAACGTAAATTGCTGAATCGTGCAGGTGAAATTAACCCTCACTCATGAAGGAATGTAAAGTGTTAGTTCAACCAACAATCAACCAGTTGTCTAAATTGCTCAAAGGTGCATCTCATGAAGAATCAATTGGCAAGCATATATAGACAGACCACAACACAGAGTTGCAATTTTCCAATAATGGATGGACCAGGAAACGAACAGGGTCAACAGCCAAGAGGAGGAAGAAGAGGAGCAAGGATGCGTGGTGGAAGGCAAAACAGAGGAAGAGGCAGAAGAGGACATAGGCGCATATCTGATGACATAAGGGCCACTATTGTAGACCATGTTGTCAATCATGGCCTTACAATGGCTGAGGCGGGTCGAAGGGTGCAGCTGAATATTGGGAGATCAACCGTGTCCTCAATAGTACAAACGTTTCGAAGAGAGAACAGGTATGTCCACCAATGTACAGTGCACTGTTACTGTATATAAGCAGTATACTGTATACTTCCTACAATGCTTCATATTACAGTAGTCCACTTGTATTTCACAGCATACAGAAATATACTCTATACAGATACATACTGCACCTTACATGCACCCACCTGTATGTTTTACCGTAAAATGTGTGTTCGCATAGTTTTTGTCTATGTGAAAGTGTGCGATGCATCACTGCATTTTTCCACACATAGGACTGCAAGATTACCTCAAACCGGTGGCAGAGGACGCCTTTTCACACCTCAACAGGAGGAGGCTATTTGCACCATGGTCCGAGCAAACAATGCCATGAGACTCAGGGAAATACAAAGGACCATTATAGAAGACAATGATGTCTTTGAAAACATCCATACGGTTAGCATCTCAACCATCGACAGGGTGCTGCATAGAAACCAGATGAGTATGAAACAGCTGTACCGTGTACCATTCCAAAGGAATGAGGACAGAGTTAAGGAGCTACGGTACCAGTATGTACAGGTAAAACATATATCTATGTAACTACTTTACAGCAACATTTTATAGTGTTACATAGTACAGTAAGCATAAACTGCACACATTTCCATTGCTGTGGAAGGAACATGCAATATATGTACATTTTATGTCACTCTTCCTTACCAAAACAAATTCAACTGTGTGTTCTGGGATATAGCGTATAATGGAGTTGGAATCAAGTGAACCCTCTCACAACTTTGTATACGTGGATGAGGCTGGCTTCAACCTGACCAAATGCAGAAGGCGGGGTCGGAATACCATCGGTCACAGAGCTACTGTGGATTTGCCAGGCCAACGGGGAGGAAATATCACCATGTGTGCTGCTATTTCGGAGCATGGTGTCCTAACCCATATCCCCCTTTTAGGGCCATACAACACCCAGCATCTACTCAACTTTTTAGAGACTCTCTACAGGGCTCTCATCCCTGATGATGAGAGGGGTCTGTTTAGAGAGGATTTGCCAAAGTATGTGGTCATTTGTGATCATGTGAGTTTCCATCGATCAAACATCATAAGGCAATGGTTTGTGACCCACCCGAGGATGCTCATAGAATTCCTCCCACCTTATTCACCATTCCTTAACCCAATTGAGGAGTTATTTTCAGCATGGAGGTGGAAGGTGTACGATCGTCAGCCACACACACAGATGACCCTGCTGGCTGCAATGGATGCAGCATGTGAGGACACCACAGTAGACGCCTGCAGAGGATGGATAAGGCATTCCAAAAGATTCTTTCCACGTTGCATTGGAAGGGAAAATATCCGGTGTGATGTGGATGAGAATATGTGGGCTGACAGACAGGAACGTCTGGATGTGTAGAGACAGCACTAGAACAGTGCTGTGGGCAAAGTTGTGCCTTAGGGGTGGTTTCCTGTGTTTCTTTCTAATTTAGTTTTTTTTTCCTTTGTGCCCCTTGGGTTGTCCAGTCTCTTTCAATCAATAACCCACATACAGTAATATGTAAATAGTACTGTTGAAATTGATATTTGCCATAGAAGTGCAGCCTTGTGCATTTTCAATACAGTAACTGTCATCCAAACTGTAGCCTAAGTTTACATCAGGTAATACTGTCAAAGTACACAGTTCTATTGACAACATGCCTAAACATTTTGACAAACTTGTTCAAGAACAATGACTCAATGACTTATCATTCTGATGACACTGACATGATCATTGGCATGAATATTTACTTTTGAGAGATGTACTAAGGATTTTTAGTGACTGACTAGCTTTAGAAACATATCTATTGTATATTGCAGTTTGTACAAATTGTTCTGAGAAAAGCACTTATTATTTTGCACATGTTAGGGATGATGTGAAAAATGCACCAAAGCGACTGAGAAAAACTGTATGCTCAGATTTGCCAAATGGAGGGCGAGGGAGACCTTTGTATGCGTCTCTGTGTGTGGAGTAACAGTGGTCTAGAGTTTTTTTCCCTCTGGTTGCACATTTAACATGCTGGTAGAAATTAGGTAGAACGAATGTAAGTTTCCCTGCATTACAGTTTTTCTCAGTCGCTTTGGTGCATTTTTCACATCATCCCTAACATGTGCAAAATAATAAGTGCATTTCTCAGAACAATTTGTACAAACTGCAATATACAATAGATATGTTTCTAAAGCTAGTCAGTCACTAAAAATCCTTAGTACATCTCTCAAAAGTAAATATTCATGCCAATGATCATGTCAGTGTCATCAGAATGATAAGTCATTGAGTCATTGTTCACGAACAAGGTTGTCAAAATGTTTAGGCATGTTGTCAATGGAACTGTGTACTTTGACAGTATTACCTGATGTAAACTTAGGCTACAGTTTGGATGACAGTTACTGTATTGAAAATGCACAAGGCTGCACTTCTATGGCATATATCAATTTCAACAGTACTATTTACATATTACTGTATGTGGGTTATTGATTGAAAGAGACTGGACAACCCAAGGGGCACAAAGGAAAAAAAAACTAAATTAGAAAGAAACACAGGAAACCACCCCTAAGGCACAACTTTGCCCACAGCACTGTTCTAGTGCTGTCTCTACACATCCAGACGTTCCTGTCTGTCAGCCCACATATTCTCATCCACATCACACCGGATATTTTCCCTTCCAATGCAACGTGGAAAGAATCTTTTGGAATGCCTTATCCATCCTCTGCAGGCGTCTACTGTGGTGTCCTCACATGCTGCATCCATTGCAGCCAGCAGGGTCATCTGTGTGTGTGGCTGACGATCGTACACCTTCCACCTCCATGCTGAAAATAACTCCTCAATTGGGTTAAGGAATGGTGAATAAGGTGGGAGGAATTCTATGAGCATCCTCGGGTGGGTCACAAACCATTGCCTTATGATGTTTGATCGATGGAAACTCACATGATCACAAATGACCACATACTTTGGCAAATCCTCTCTAAACAGACCCCTCTCATCATCAGGGATGAGAGCCCTGTAGAGAGTCTCTAAAAAGTTGAGTAGATGCTGGGTGTTGTATGGCCCTAAAAGGGGGATATGGGTTAGGACACCATGCTCCGAAATAGCAGCACACATGGTGATATTTCCTCCCCGTTGGCCTGGCAAATCCACAGTAGCTCTGTGACTGATGATATTCCGACCCCGCCTTCTGCATTTGGTCAGGTTGAAGCCAGCCTCATCCACGTATACAAAGTTGTGAGAGGGTTCACTTGATTCCAACTCCATTATACGCTATATCCCAGAACACACAGTTGAATTTGTTTTGGTAAGGAAGAGTGACATAAATGTACATATATTGCATGTTCCTTCCACAGCAATGGAAATGTGTGCAGTTTATGCTTACTGTACTATGTAACACTATAAAATGTTGCTGTAAAGTAGTTACATAGATATATGTTTTACCTGTACATACTGGTACCGTAGCTCCTTAACTCTGTCCTCATTCCTTTGGAATGGTACACGGTACAGCTGTTTCATACTCATCTGGTTTCTATGCAGCACCCTGTCGATGGTTGAGATGCTAACCGTATGGATGTTTTCAAAGACATCGTTGTCTTCTATAATGGTCCTTTGTATTTCCCTGAGTCTCATGGCATTGTTTGCTCGGACCATGGTGCAAATAGCCTCCTCCTGTTGAGGTGTGAAAAGGCGTCCTCTGCCACCGGTTTGAGGTAATCTTGCAGTCCTATGTGTGGAAAAATGCAGTGATGCATCGCACACTTTCACATAGACAAAAACTATGCGAACACACATTTTACTGTAAAACATACAGGTGGGTGCATGTAAGGTGCAGTATGTATCTGTATAGAGTATATTTCTGTATGCTGTGAAATACAAGTGGACTACTGTAATATGAAGCATTGTAGGAAGTATACAGTATACTGCTTATATACAGTAACAGTGCACTGTACATTGGTGGACATACCTGTTCTCTCTTCGAAACGTTTGTACTATTGAGGACACGGTTGATCTCCCAATATTCGGCTGCACCCTTCGACCCGCCTCAGCCATTGTAAGGCCATGATTGACAACATGGTCTACAATAGTGGCCCTTATGTCATCAGATATGCGCCTATGTCCTCTTCTGCCTCTTCCTCTGTTTTGCCTTCCACCACGCATCCTTGCTCCTCTTCTTCCTCCTCTTGGCTGTTGACCCTGTTCGTTTCCTGGTCCATCCATTATTGGAAAATTGCAACTCTGTGTTGTGGTCTGTCTATATATGCTTGCCAATTGATTCTTCATGAGATGCACCTTTGAGCAATTTAGACAACTGGTTGATTGTTGGTTGAACTAACACTTTACATTCCTTCATGAGTGAGGGTTAATTTCACCTGCACGATTCAGCAATTTACGTTTTTGTACAAAAGGTCTAATAGAAATGTGTAAAACTATGCTTGACAGTTTATGACAAATAGTTCAACAATTTTGCATGTAATGGCTTATGCAAGGAACTAATGCCTAGATGTTTTGAGGGGTAAGACTATTCAACAGAGAACCATCTACTATATTTTGATCAACATGACATGAGCAATTGAAAATGTGGAAAAAAGCTGACACTTGTACATTATCAATTGCAATATGTACAAAAGCAATTGCAATTTGTTCAAAGGAATAAGAAATTGCTTTAATGATGTGCACAAGTGACTAGATGATTTGGAATTTGTACAAGTAGTATCAAGAATTGCACTTTTGATCTAAGAAATGCACCAAAGCGACTGAGAAAAACTGTAAAGTCCCCGGCCACTAGTAGCGCTGCCTCTGGATGAGCGTTTTCCTGTTTACTTATGGCCTTGTACAGCTCATTGAGTGCAATCTTAATGCCAGTATTGGTTTGTGGTGGTAAATAGACAGATATGAAAAATATAGATGAAAACTCTCTTGGTAAATAGTGTAGTCTACAGCTTATCATAAGATACTCTACCTCAGGCGAGCAAAACCTAGAGACTTCCTTAGTATTTGATTTTGTGCGCCAGCTGTTGTTTACAAATATACACAGTCCACCACCCCTTGTCTTACCGGAGTCAGCCGTTCTATCCTGCCGATGTAGCGTTTATCCCGTCAGCTGTATGTTGTCCATGTCGTCATTCAGCCACGACTCGGTGAAACATAAGATATTACAGTTTTTAATGTCCCGTTGGTAGGATAACCGTAATCTTAGGTAATCTAATTTATTTTCAAATAATTGAACATTGGCTAATAGGATTGATGGAAGAGGCAGTTTACTTGCTCGCCGTCGGATCCTTACAAGGCACCCCGACCTACGTCCACGATATCTCTGTTTCTTTCTCCTGCGAATGACAGGGATTTGGGCCTTGTCGGGTGTCTGTAGCATATCCTTCGCTTCCGACTCGTTGAAGAAAAAATCTTTGTCCGATAGGAGGTGAGTAATCGCTGTCCTGATATCCAGAAGCTCTTTTTGGTTATGAGAGACGATGGCAGAAACATTATGTACAGAATAAATTACAAATGCATTGTTACTGTTATTACATAGACTGTCCTTTATATTTTTGTGTTGTTGTATTTCTCATGCTCCTGCCTTTGTTTGTTGTAGCTAGAACCACTTCTCCTTATCTACAGCTGCAGCACTATTGTGAAGCAGGGCTCAGTTGAAAAAATTGATGTCATTGGTCAAAGAGACTTTGGCCACACCATATTACAGGTTACATTGTATAAGAAGATTGTATTGTCTCCTCACCCACTCCAACCAATCACCCTGTCTCCTATCATAGTATCAGAGTTCTGCATTTTTTTTTTAACGTAGTACTACGTTGGTACTTACTGTGTACAGATAGATAGATAGATAGATAGATAGATAGATAGATAGATAGATAGATAGATAGATAGATAGATAGATAGATAGATAGATAGATAGATAGATAGATAGATAGATAGATAGATAGCTTTTGCAAAATAGCAGATGACAAACTTCATCAACTCTCCTTTTTATCAAATTGAATTACGACTCCAGAAACTCATCATTGTTAAAATTAACAACGTATTTCTACCATTTCATTTCTATGCTTCTGTTGATCAGATGGTCTCTGTGTTGATCACCACTCAACTGTAAAGTTATTGGGATGCTGAAACAACTAAGGTAAGAAATAAGGTCTTTGTGCCTATGGAACATTTCTGGGATCTTTTATTTCAGCTCATGAAACATGGGACAAACACTTTACCTGTTGCATTTATATTTTTGTTCAGTATAATTCTGTCACTAAATTGATTAAGCTATTTACTTTCTACTTGCTTGGCACACCTATATTTGGGGAGTTTCTCCCATTCTTCTCTGCAGATCCTCTCAAGCTCTGTCAGGTTGGATGGGACGCGTTGCTGCACAGCTATTTTCAGGTCCAGAGATGTTCGATTGGGTTCAAGTCCAGCCACTGGCTGGGCCACTGAAGGACATTCACAGACTTGTCCCAAAGCCACTCCTGCGTTGTCTTCACTGTGTGCTTAGGGTCGTTCTCCTGTTGGATGGTGAACCTTCGCCCAAGTCTGAGATCCTGAGCGCTCTGGAGCAGGTTTTCATCAATGATCACTCTGTACTTTGCTCCGTTCATCATTGACTCGATCCTGACTAGTCTCCCAGTCCCTGCTGCTGAAAAACATCCCCACAGCATGATGCTGCCACCACCATGCTTTACCGTAGGGATGGTGCCAGGTTTCCTCCAGACGTGACCCTTGGCATTCAGGCCAAAGAGTTCAATCTTGGTTTCATCAGACCAGAGAATCTTGTTTCTCATGGTCTAAGAGTCTTTAGGTGCCTTTTGGCAAACTCCAAGCGGGCTGTCATGTGCCTTTTACTGAGGAGTGGCTTCCATCTGGCCACTCTACAATAAAGGCCTGAATGGTGGAGTGCTGCAGAGATGGTTGTCCTTCTGGAAAGTTCTCCCATCTCCATAGAGGAACTCTAGAGCTCCGTCAAAGTGACCATCGGGTTCTTGGTCACCTCCCTGACCAAAGCCCTTCTCCCCCGATTGCTCAGATTGGCCAGGTGGCCAGCTCTAGGAAGAGTCTTGGTGGTTCCAAATTTCTTCCATTTAAGAATGATGGACACCACTGTGTTCTTGGGGACTTTCAATGCTACCCTCCCATGCTCATGTACATAAACACACACTCCCCAGTCCCCTAGCCGACTCCAGTTAATTTAGAAATAGACTAAGAACCTGACTTGCACTGGAAGAAACAAGCTCCAGCCACTCTTGATTTACACCCGGTTTTAGGCTCGGATTCAATCCAGAGCACAGTATAGAGCGCTGTCGACAATGCACCTTTTTAAAGGCAATGTTCCCACATTCGCGGAGATTGCATTCATGGTAAATGCTTAAAGGTCCAATTCAGCCGTTTTTATATCAATATAACATTTCTGGGTAGCAATTAAGTACCTTATTGTGATTTGTTTTCAATTAAAATGGTCAGAAAGAAACAAAAATAGCTTCTTAGTAAAGCATTTCTCAAGCAAGAATTTTGCTAGGACTGTCTGGGAGTGGTCTGAGTGGGGAGGGGAAAACTGAAAATTAGCTGTTATCGGCCGAGAGGTTTGGAACTGTCACACCCTGGCTCTGGGACTCTATATGTTGAGCCAGGGTGTGGATAGTCTATATGTTGTATTTCTATGTTGGCCTGAGTGACTCCCAATCAGAGGCAACGAGTGTCAGCTGGTTGTCTCTGATTGGGAGCCATATTTAACTGTCTGTCTTTCACTTTGTGTTTGTGGTTTCTTGTTCTATTTTGGTTTGTGTTAAACCGTAGACATCACGTTATCGTCTGTTGTTTTGTTCGTGTGTTCATTCATTAAATAATATGTTCACCTTCAACGCTGCGCATTGGTCTCTCCCTGACGATCGTGACAGAAGAAACCACCAGAACTGGACCAAGCAGCCTAGTGAGGAGCAGAGTGGGTGGACTTGGCAACAGTGGAGGCAGAGCTTCGACTGGGTCAAGCCGAATGAGGAGCTGAATGGCGGAGATTGGAAGCAGAAGAGCGAGAGTTGGGCGAGAATTATCGAGGCCTGGCCCACGGGGAAGAGAGACTCCCAGAAATTTTTTAGGGGGGGGCTCACGACGTCGGACCAGCAGGAGGCCGCGATAGAGCGGCCCAGCGGGTTACCAGAGGAGGCCGCCAGGTTAAGGGGGCCACTGGGCGAAGAGGGGATGGAGGATGTAGAGGCACGGCGAGAGGTACTGGCGTGTGTTGCCAGTCCGGTCCGGCCCGTTCCAGATCCCGGTGTAGGGCCAGTGGTGTGTGTCCCCAGTACGGTCCGGTCTGTTCCTGCTCCCCGCACCAAGTCAGGGGTGCGCATCGTCAGCCCGGTCCGGCCCGTTCCTACTCCACGCACCAAGCCAGGGGTGCGCATCGTCAGCCCGGTCCGGCCCGTTCCTACTCCACGCACCAAGCCAGGGGTGCGCATCGTCAGCCCGGTCCGGCCCGTTCCTACTCCACGCACCAAGCCAGGGGTGCGCATCGTCAGCCCGGTCCGGCCCGTTCCTACTCCACGCACCAAGCCAGGGATGCGCATCATCAGCAAGGTCCGGCCCGTTCCTACTCCACGCACCAAGCCAGGGGTGCGCATCGTCAGCCCGGTCCGGCCCGTTCCTACTCCACGCACCAAGCCAGGGGTGCGCATCGTCAGCCCGGTCCGGCCCGTTCCTACTCCACGCACCAAGCCAGGGGTGCGCATCGTCAGCCCGGTCCGGCCCGTTCCTACTCCACGCACCAAGCCAGGGGTGCGCATCGTCAGCAAGGTCCGGCCCGTTCCTACTCCACGCACCAAGCCAGGGGTGCGCATCGTCAGCCCGGTCCGGCCCTTTCCTACTCCACGCACCAAGCCAGGGGTGCGCATCGTCAGCCCGGTCCGGCCCGTTCCTAATCCACGCACCAAGCCAGGGGTGCGCATCGTCAGCCCGGTCCGGCCCGTTCCTACTCCACGCACCAAGCCAGGGGTGCGCATCGTAAGCCCGGTCCGGCCCGTTCCTACTCCACGCACCAAGCCAGGGTTGCTCATCGTCAGCCCGGTCCGGCCCGTTCCTACTCCACGCACCAAGCCAGGGATGCGCATCGTCAGCCCGGTCCGGCCCGTTCCTACTCCACGCACCAAGCCAGGGGTGCGCATCGTCAGCCCGGTCCGGCCCGTTCCTACTCCACGCACCAAGCCAGGGGTGCGCATCGTCAGCAAGGTCCGGCCCGTTCCTACTCCACGCACCAAGCCAGGGGTGCGCATCGTCAGCCCGGTCCGGCCCGTTCTTACTCCACGCACCAAGCCAGGGGTGCGCATCGTCAGCCCGGTCCGGCCCGTTCCTACTCCACGCACCAAGCCAGGGGTGCGCATCGTCAGCAAGGTCCGGCCCGTTCCTACTCCACGCACCAAGCGAGGGGTGCGCATCGTCAGCCCGGTCCGGCCCTTTCCTACTCCACGCACCAAGCCAGGGGTGCGCATCGTCAGCCCGGTCCGGCCCGTTCCTAATCCACGCACCAAGCCAGGGGTGCGCATCGTCAGCCCGGTCCGGCCCGTTCCTACTCCACGCACCAAGCCAGGGGTGCGCGTTATATCCCGCACAACCCGTGCCTGGGTCTCCGGTGCCTGGTAAGGTACCGGTCAGCTGCTCCACACCGGAGCCTAAGCGGTCCGCTTCAACGATGTCCGGTCCAGCTCCAGCCAGCGGGGCCAGACCGGACCAGGGGCGCCACGGGGGGATGGTGGAAGGGTGGTGGTCAAGCCCGGAACCGGAACCGCCTCCGAGGAGGAATGCCCACCCAGCCCTCCCCTGGTTTGTGTACGTTTAGGCGCGGTCGCAGTCCGCGCCTTTAGGGGGGGGGTACTGTCACACCCTGGCTCTGGGACTCTATATGTTGAGCCAGGGTGTGGATAGTCTATATGTTGTATTTCTATGTTGGCCTGAGTGACTCCCAATCAGAGGCAACGAGTGTCAGCTGGTTGTCTCTGATTGGGAGCCATATTTAACTGTCTGTCTTTCACTTTGTGTTTGTGGTTTCTTGTTCTATTTTGGTTTGTGTTAAACCGTAGACATCACGTTATCGTCTGTTGTTTTGTTCGTGTGTTCATTCATTAAATAATATGTTCACCTTCAACGCTGCGCATTGGTGTCTCCCTGACGATCGTGACAGGAACTCTCTTTCTTATTGATCTATTAACTAATTTACCGCCTGGTGATGCCAGGCAGGCCAAAACTCCATCCCACCAAAATAGCCTGAAATGTCAGGCGATCTTTTCAAACAGCCCTTAAACTAAAAGGGCATTATTGTAATTTACACAATTTCACAGTATTATTCCAACCTCACAGTGTGGAAAAATACATTGTTGCAACTTTGGTTTTAGAAGTGGGGGGGGACATAATTTTTTCAGTCCGATAAACACTCCAAACAGCCTACCCGAACCGCTCGAAGGCATCCGCATGGTCCTAAAGCACACCTAAGCATTGTTTTGTATCACATTCCAATGATAGAACTGGGGGTGACAAAATTGCAATTTCAGAATGTGAGGGAGATATGTCGTCCGTCCCCCCCCCCCCCCTCCCCCCCATCTGCAGTGAAATTTGAGGCCCTGGAAATATATATAAAACACGAAATTCATGTTTATGACTGCACTGGGCCTTTAAAAATGTCAGGCATGCTCCAATTCGCCTCAGATTGAAACTCTGCCTTAATCTTTATCCTACGGTGGCTTCCTCTCTTCATCTCCTTTCTTTCATCTGTGTGGATCTGAAAGAAATTAACAGTTGAAAGG